GTCAACTGCGCTATAGAGCTACAATCTACATATGTAATGTAGGTCTGTGACCGCGAGTAAGGAGCACACGAAAGTTTTCGTATCCAGGTGGACAATGATTTGAGACAAATTCAAGATGGCGCGCTTCTATAAAGTCCTTGAGATTACATTAAATCAAAAATTAAAAAGCGTCAAATTATAAAAAAAAAACCTTGAACAATGTATACATCGGTTCTAAGCTAAATTAAACATCGCTTTTATGGTTTAAGTAGAAATTATAGGAGATATATCATTCGTATACTTAATGTTGAAATGTAACACTTTTTTTGAGCTTTTACTATATTATAAACATAGGTTGCCTAGTGCAAAGGTATAAGGCATTATTTATAACTTTACAGACACGACGTTTGGAAATGTAATGTGCTATGTATATCATTTCTTGTACTTTAAATCATGAACAAGGCCTTTAGTAACAAACATTTATACGACATATTTTATATTACATTATTATTTATTATATTATATTTTAAAAAATCTAATTAAAAACAATTAACGCATACAATTTTAACAATAATACAGTAAACACGTACATAAAGGAAACGTATTAGTTTGAATGTGTTAAAGCTTTCGTGGATTGATATATCATTTGGATGATTTTTGGATATATCCACGTCAATAGTTATAGGCCGACGCGACGTTTCGGACTTTGCAATGAGTCCGAAACTTCGGCCTATAAAAATATGCGTCACCGAAAATGTATACCTTCCAATCCTTCCTTATTATTTAAAAAATAATAATTATTATAAGATCCGGAGTACTATCACTAGGTGTCTTCTCCTATCAAGATTTCAAGTGAAAAATTATATTATGTCTATTTTATAATTTACGCCTATTGTACATAAAAATTGTATAGATTGTGTAATTAAAATAATAAAAGAGAAAAAAAGTTTATGTGCATTAGGACATTCTGTTTTATTATTTTTGCACTATATGACATTACAAACTCTACCAACTGTAAAAATTTAAGACGGTCGCCCATTGCGATTATGGGTTTATGGAGCTATTGTGCTTAAGCAATTACTAAACACTAATGTCCATGATAATATTCATATTATCGCGACACGGGGTTAATTAACTCTATACTTAACTATACTCATCGCGCTTCGTTCGCCTTATATAGTGTATTTATACGTCTCCGACCGTTATGTATTTGCTTTTCGCCAATTAGCTGGCCGAACACCGTTATGATAAAGATACCTACGTCGTGAATTCGTTTCGTATGCTTCGTGCACACAAATTCGACCGAAGACTGCATATAATGTTATTCTAACAAAAATATTCCACATATGTCAGTCTTCTAGTAAATATTATTTAAAAATGTGAAACGTGTAGAGCAAAAAATACCACAACGTTAATAAGGGAAGATCGGAGCGTATCCTACCGAGATCGAGTACCCTATTTGTAATGTTTGAAATACTGATTAAGAAAATCGACGAATTTCCAATGTCCTTGTAATTCTACAGAATCGTTTGCGAAATATGGGTAAACGTTGAATTACAAAATAGAATTCTTAAAATGTTACCATATTTATAATCATTTTATCCATTTCAGCGTGTCCACCGCGAAACAGCGTCGAATTTCACATAATCGTTTTTTAAAAAAATGTATTGCTTTTACGGTAAAAAAACGTAACAGGTAAAACACGTATTAAAGTATCACATCTATGGTCAGCATACCGAAAAATACAATATATATTCCATGGGAGTGAAAGAAAAAAAACGTACACCGCAATTGAACTAAGCCCGTTCAATGACCGACGATGACTGACTAACAACTGAACAAGTAACAAGTAACAACCACTAGGTACTACTACTACTACTACACTACTGTATATCTATGATAAAACCGCCACGACGCCGCCACCGCTGCCGGTGCCTCAGTCAGACATAGCCGTAACACACATCGGCCAACCCATTACAATTCAGTCTTCTCTATGGGAGTACCAAATTATAATTCTATAGTGTACCTGCTAATATCGTTAAATCGTTTGCTCGCCAACCGTATCGATAATTATTTTTCGGTGCAACAAAATAAAACACTAGATCGCCGATACATTAACCGGAATGACCACGAGTTATTGAGATTTATACGATTCTATTATACACGTTCATTGTCGTATCGAGTTGAAATGGAATACGCCAAGATAGGTACATGAAAAAAGATCGTTTTTATCCGAATTAACAGGGGAAATTTTTTTCATACAGTTATGCAAGATCTGGAGTATATTGACATCATAGGGGAACGTATCAACGTGACGAATGACAAGCGAATTAAAATATTTTCATACACACGGCCGGTTACTGTCATAGACTTACAGTTCGAAGGAAATCGTGTACACTTGAAATCACTTCTCCGCCTTTCACTTTCCCCTTTGTTCAAAAACAGTGCAACGTTGTAAACTAGTATTCTTTAAAAGAAAACTGCATTCATTGTTTGATTTAAACGCTAATAATTTCGTAAATTATATTATTTCATAATATTATTATTTATCTTTAATTAACAATAATAATATACTAAGAAAACAATCTTAGCTCACATAAGTATATCGCTATCTTTAGCGGTAAAAGCGCATTAGTAACAAAGAAACAATTATTATTATTTTACTCAAATCAAAGAAAGATGCGCTACCTACAAATAAAATATAGGTACTATTGAACAATTTGATGAAAAAAGGTAAACCAATAAAATCAGCTAAATACAAATGGCCGTGAGGATATTACATTGTTAACACAGCTGGAACATTATTTGGTATTATTGAGAGAATTCGATAATAGTTACGGGTGGTTAATTATGGGCTACAAACTGAAACTACTGAAAGCTTTCAGTCATATTATTACAGCGGATCTCAAATAGTTGAATTGGCTGTTTAAAAAAAAACAATGCACGAAAATAAAATTAAAAAGTATTAACAATTAATTATACCATTGATTTTAAAATTTAGTATACATAGTATATTTTGAAATAAATGGTTCAACAAAAATAATATATCTAAGGTCATTAGGAATAATATAAACTAACTACGTACAATTTATTTGGGAGTAGATTTTAAGTGCGGAATTGGGGTACCTACCAATTTTTTTTTATTTGGGGTAGGGGTTATTTTTTAACTTTAACTGTCACGTTCATTAGTCATTACATTATGTGCCCTGGAATCAAATCTAATAACTTGAGTATCATAGCTTAAATATACTTGGTTATCTACAATAACCTTGTATTTTGCCCTTTAATAGCAAACTTAAATTTTAAATTATGGAAAAAAGAATACATTCAAAGTTAGTGGCAAAAAGTGTTTGCATTGTGTACTTTTAACAGTTAGCATACTGTGAAGTACCCTTATTTTTTTCCACAGATAATTTAATAATCTGCAATAACCTACTATACGTAAGCTATCTAGCTGTCTAGTACCAGTCTAAGTTCAATACTAGTAAATAAAGATACAATACACCAAATACATTCTTCTAGCTCATTTTAAACAGATTAGGGAACTTACACAATGTACATAATGACTTAATTTTCTTTTCACAAGCACCTGTAAGTTATTTCCTATCTGCAAAATTGTAATTGTACGCAGAAGTATTATTATTTTTATAATTTTAAATATGTAAGTATACATTTTTTACTCGCCCTTGTCCTAGTTAATTTTATTTTAACACATTCAGATATAAATGTATGTAGGTCTTAATTAAACTATCAATTATTTTTTATTGGGTATGATAAAACTCGAGATGTCAATTTTGATTAATATTATTAATTATTATAAAATACATAATTTATTTCATAATTTTAACATTTATTTAAAACCAAATATTAAGAGCAAGAAAGAAGTCAAATAAATAAACAAATCAGAAATAGAAGGCTTCTAAAATTTAAAAAAATGAATCAGAAGAAGAACTAAGTAAACTCAGTTTTCTTGAAACCATTCTATAAACGATAGCAATGTTAAAATATAATATTATAATATAAGTATAGTATTGTCTTAATTTTATGTTGTGGCCAAATGTTTTTTAAAATTTTTTTTTAAATTTGGCCTAAATCGGTTTATTGGTAACATTCATCTGGTCAGTTATTTTTAATAAATTTAACCATTCATTGTACTCGTTGTGAAAACATCATAATTGTTAACATGATAGTACAGTATAGTATAGAATACTATACTGTCTTATTATATATTCTATATTATTGTCTTAATTTTATGTTGTGGCCAAATAATTTTCCTTAATACTCCTACTGTCTCCATCCTACCACTGTGACACTTACCATGTCGCTTAAAACGTGACGGACAAATTTTCAGAATAACCCCCAGCCATAAAACATATAAATTTAATCTAAATATATTGTACAAATGATTAAAATATAATATAAAATACTAAAAAGAAACAATTATAAACTAAAATAAGAAAAAAAATGTAAATTATTGGCAAAATCACTATTACAGATTAAGAATAATAAGACATTAAAACAATTTAAATGATAATTAGGTATTAAGAAAATGAGAAAATGAGTGGTAAATGTCCACTTAGTTTAATTTTTAACACTCAGTTATTGAATTTTTAGTTCATATTTGATATTTGTAATGGCCTAATACAAAAAATCAAACAACTTGTTAGCGTTGAGAATTATTAATATATCTAATATTCTATAGATATATTATAGGTTAAAGTTACCTATAATATTTACATGAGTACATTGTACATATCAAGTAAAGAATGAAATTGATAATGCTAAAATGTACACATACTAATACATTAATAACAATTATTATTCGATAACAACCACCAACAGGGGCCCGGCCTTAAACCTTTTGTTAAGTGGCCTAGGCCTACAAAAAAAAAAAATAAATAAAAGGGGCCGGAAAATTTAGTTTTCCCGGGGCCGGCAGAGATGAGTACGGCTCTGACCACCAATCAATATTATATTGAGTACTTAGAATTAATACGATTATTAATGATTTTCAAACTTACCAAATAGTTTCTATGGTGAACAACTAAAGTATGTGTAAAGTCTGTAAACGTCACTATTAAAAGTAGTTGTTTTCGCTACGATCGTGAATTGCAGTGAATCATATTATTCATTAATTATACTTATGCCGATTGTGTGTAATCAAGTATTAAATACTAAATAGTAAATACTAAATAATAAAGAAATCTGCGAAAAGTGAAAACTGAAAACTAATCAAAAATAATTAGGAATGTTTTGATACAATAATTTTTATCAATGACTAATAATTGTACAGCTGGACTTTCTAATATGATAACGTTTTCGACTGAAACGAAACGATTTGTGCATTTGACAAACGGTTGAAACATATCGATTCGTTGTGTTTTTCATTCCCTTAAAATAAAGGTTTTTTAAGTAATAAATTGGAAAAAGTATATGAATCAAATTTATTTATTTCATCATTTTTGTTTTGTTTTTACAAAATTATTTAATTTTATTTATAAGAAAAAATTGGCAAAAAATTATTTTGAAAATTACAAGGAGAATAGAAATAAAATCAGCCGGAGCTTGTTTACACTTTACAGTCGCCGCTGTAGGGTTAACTCGGCTATTCTAATTTACTTTTCTAACTCGATATTTCTATTTTCTATCGTGACCGTGATTAAAATTTACATACTATTATTTGTACTCCTAGTAATTATATTATAGTTTATTTAACTTGTTAATCTGTTGTGACTAAAAGTTATCACTGTAATTACCGTTTTCACGCCTATAAACCCATACTAACGTGCTCGACAACAATTTCAACGAACGATTAGAAAAATAAGACGTATATTTTTAAATTTTTAAAATGAGCGAAGAAGAACAACTGCCGTCCGGCTGGGAAAAACGAGTTAGCAGATCAACTGGTATTTATTGAACTATGAATTTTATACTTAAGTTGTTGTTTCCAACAATAAGTAATATTGTATTAATTGACGAAGTGGTAAATCTATATCGCGGTTATTGCCACTTTCGCGCCTTGTCACAATAATAACTAATAATCAGTACCTAACCCAGTTTTATTAACATTTCATTTTATCTCTATTAACCCATTCAAAAATATAATATAAGAAAATACACATTTAAATAAAATAGTATTTCATAATTTTGTTTTTATTTTAAATTTTTTTAACTATTTTTGAATATCTATGACCAGTTTTAATTTTTTTTTTTAAATGTCATAATTTGATAAGTAAAAGCTTAAGTTAAATATTAATGACTTCAGACTATTTTAAACATAATTTTGTCTGTGACTTGATATAACTGAAAATATGATATGATGATGTTGATGATGAGATAAGCCGGTTGCATAGTATTAGGCCTCTTATACTGGTCAGGCGTTCACCTCAAACTAATAGACCGGAGACTGTGCACAATTCCACCTAGTAACCAACCTAACTAATCTATAATAAATTAAGAATCCCTTCTAGTTAGGCAGCCTGGGTTTAGCAATCTTAAAAGAGCCTCTCCCGTATTTAGCTTTTTTGAACTAATATATTTATATTATACTCATTTTTTAGTTCAATACTAAATAAAATTGCATTGTTTTAATTTTGTGGACTGCCTTAAAATGTTTCCTATGGGTTGATGCTTAACTCTATCTGTCTGTAATTCTTATATATTGTATGATTAGTATAATTCAATATGTACTCTAAATCAACCTTTTTACTTTATTACCCTTTACTGAAAATATAATATAAACATTATTATTTGTATTGAGTGGTGTGCATAATATAATTCCCCCTGTTACTATGTGCTAACTATATAAAACATTTGACTTGAAATTAATTATTATAAATAGTATATTGTAATTTTCTAATTATTATTTTTGTACTTTAAAATTATGAAACAGATACTTGAGCTTAGTTCTGTTATCATACTCAATTTTTATCTTTCACTCTATAGTATATATATGATGTATATAATTTACAGTTGCTTAGTAAAAATTAAAAATAATAATTGTAACAAAAAAAATATATATTTATATACAGGGTGTTTCACAAAGATATGACAAAAGAAATAACTTTTGTTCTTGTGAATATTTTTATTATTTTTTTATTAAATTAATTTGTACTTATTTGCGCTATAAATACAACGGTTTTAGTGCTTCACTTTTACAAATTATTTTTTTTTAATTTTTAAGATATAGTCTATTCCTTCACCCCCTAAACCAAGTAGCCATTTTATTAAGAATAATTTGCTGAGAATTTTGACTAGTCGACAACTAATAATTAGTTTATGGTGGGAGGTGAAGTGCAGTAGTGTAATGCGTGGAGAAAAAAATTACTCCACGCGCTTACTTTACCGCACTCCACCTCCCGTCTTAAATTTAAATTTTTATATTTTAAAAAGTAATTCTTCTTAACTGTTTATCAAACAGCCAAAATTCTCAGAAAATTATTCTTAATAAAATGGCCATTTCGGTTTTGGGGGTAAAGGAATAACCCTTTTTTAAATTTTGACCCATCAAACTACCAACTGCATTCGATTTTAGGTCAATAAAACTGCTACTGAAAATAAATCGGTCCATAGGAAGGAGTTATCGTATTTTCAGACAAAAAATAAAAACATCTTTATAAAACTAATACCTTCTCAGCTATCTTATCAAAGCTAATATATATTATGTTTACTCTTTCAAGGCCAGACATATTACTTAAATCTTTTGACCAAAGATAGCCAATGGACTGTACCAACAAAGCCAGCTTCAGAAAATTCGGCTCCTACAAATTCAGGCCCAGAACAAGTTCGATGTAGTCATTTGCTAGTGAAGCATGAAAAGTCTCGACGTCCATCGTCGTGGCGAGAAGAATTTATTACACGGTCAAAATCTGAAGCTGTGGAAACAATACTATGTACTAATATGAATATATATTTGATATTTTAAAGCTACATTGGTATATTCTGTTTCTATATATGAATACATTTTTTTTTTATAGCTTATCGAGAACAAATTGTATCTGGTAAAGCAACATTTGAAGAGCATGCACGAAAATACTCAGACTGTAGTTCAGCCAAACGTGGTGGTGATCTAGGACCATTCACCAGAGGTACAATGCAAAAGCCTTTTGAAGATGCGTCATTTGGCCTAAAAATCGGCGAACTTAGTGAACCTATTCATACAGATTCAGGTGTTCATATAATTTTGCGTACTGGTTAGGATAGAGCCAACTATTTGCTAATATCATTATTTTTATTATTATAATTATTCAAATTATCGCATATTTAACTTATTGTTTTCCTTAAAAAACACCAATGTAATTAGCAGTTGCATTTTTCAACACTGATTGTAATTTTTTTAAATGATTCTTTTTTCATTCTTTTATTTAAATTTGTTTTTTTTTTTTGCTCAACTATTTGTTTAGTTAATGTTATAAAGTTGATTTTAATAAACAAATATTGTCACTTAAAACTAAAAATTGGAACAAAGCAAATTTATTGTAAAAAAACATAATAGCCAGTTGTCAAGACTTAATACAAATTGTTTTTTTTTTTTATATATAATTATGTTAACTGGAATGTTGAAGTAGTAACTGTAGTAAAAGCTAATGAAAACCAGTGTTAATTTTTCTAATGAAATTTAATGTTTAAAAACAAATAATAAACAAACAATTAAATTATAAAATGAACAAATAGACAAATTTATGTGTTTAATTTATAATGTTTTAATGTTGATAATAATTATTTTCATTGATTTATTACACAGTATTATATCTTAAACCAATGGTATTTTTGTTTGTAACTTGTTATGTTTGGTTAAATATTTAAATGAAATTTTTTAAGAAGTGTTAGTCAATCAGTACTTAATACATTATGTATTTTTTTTCTTAAATTACACCAAGACGATTAAAAATAACTAAATAGTATGTATTAATTAAAAAGTTATTAAATTAAAATAAAATTATTTACTTCTACAAAGTATTCAGCCATGTAATTTTTTCAAAATAAATATGTAAAATATGTATTTTGAGAATAGTACGGCTGTACACTTCATATGAAATAGATAGTTAATTCTGTTGGAAAAGAAAATTAGTTGAAGCTTAAATTAACATAATTAAATTAATACACATAGTCCAAGGTTGATATTTTAATACTAATCATTTATTATCCACAAAACTATTACTAGACATTCAAAACTTGTTAGTTTTTAAGCATGCTAGTACCGACCTTGGGCAGGAGTCCTGGTGCCGAGCCTCAAAATTCGCATATTAAATGTTAATAAGTACAAGTATAGTAGTAGTAGTATTTTTTGATTTCATGATTTGAAAGCCTTAGTTTATCAAATTCTCTGGAACTACCTTGCTAATTTACAAATTGTTTATAAATTGTAAACAAAATAATCATTATAGTGCCAGATCCCTCCAAGGCCGCAAGTCGGCTGGTTGGTTCTGAGAACGATGGCAATAGCGGTTTGCAAGTTTCAAGCATTATTTTTTTCAGTTTTAAACGGCTGCAACTTGATGAAATCAATTTTTATCGTGAAATATCGAGGATGCTTTTGATGTCTTATTTCAGCTTAAAGAATATTTTTTTAAATTGTAAAAATTTTAAGAAGTTTTCAAGTTTGAATTTGTTTAATGAAAAAACTAAAATTTCCTATGTTAATCGAATAAAAAAAAAAATTCATGAAAAAGTTGAGCTAGACATCTGAAAGTTAGAGAGATTTTTTATAAGAATTGGCTATTAGTAATTAAGAGGTAAGCCGTGGGAAAAAACAATTTATTTTTTTAAACTATTATATATTGTTAAGAATTTAAAGTTAGTATATTAATAATTTTCCATCCTTAATATGTGAATACAATTTAAAACTCTTTATAAATGGTTTGTGTTATATATACATTAGAGTATATTTATAGAGTTTGCATTTAATTTTATAAGTAGTAACTAATATCTTTTAAAATAATCTTTGAATATTACAACTAAATCAAATTATTGACTCATTTAACTGCTAGGCATTTCAAATGACTTGCAAATTTTTACAAACAACAATTTTTGTATTTTAGTTAACTATGTAGAACACTAACTAAAATCTTCCAATTGAATCTAATTTGTTTTCGATTGATTTTATTTTATATTATATTTTCTCTATTTAATTACAAGTTTCAATATTATTCCACTGGATTCGAATTATGATCTACGTTATAACTAAAATGAATTAAGTTTATATATATTATATATTTCACAAAAAAGGTACCTATCTATTTTTATAAAAGTATTATAAATACGCATTTTAGATACAATTTGTACGTATACTATTTGAGTTTTATCTATATTATTCTTTCAGTTTGTTTAAAAAAAGCTACAAATTTTCTACTTAGATATAAGTTAATAACTAATAAGTCTTCAAGACTTAAAAATACCATTTATCGTATTCTTAAATCTGGATTTTAAAAGTTGGAACAATTACTAACATTACAGATATTCATCAAATTCAAAAAATATTAGGGGTTGAAATTATGTAAATATCTTTATTTCAACTACTTGGGAGTAGATTTTAGACTTAGGTTAAAAATAGATAAAAAATAAAAAATAAGTTCAAAATTCTGTTTTTTTAACATTTTATTTTCATAAAGGAAAAATTGTATAATATGAATGTAAGCACAATTATTGCACATAACATAATTTCTATAAACATTTAATAATTCATACCTTCTTTAATTTTCCATCGAAGATTCTTTTTAGTGAGTGATTTTATCACTTATGACTTGACTATAATAATTTGGATTCCTGAAAACCTGTGACCTTCCCGACCCCACTGTATTGACTGTCTTCAGTTATTTTTTATTAGTTTAATCACTTTGTTCTCTTACTTTTAAAATATACTTGATCACCACATGTTGCTATGAATAAAAGTTATCAAAGTGATTTTCTAAATTTAAGTATGTAATTAATCAACGAAGAAAATTTTTCCAAAGGAAAAGGAGCATAGCCGTGTAATTACTAAGGGGGAAAATCCTATAAATTAAATAATTTGGGTTCTAAAAACTAGAGAGAATTTTTTTTTGAACTTAAGTTAGTTATATATTCAAGGTATCCCAAACTTGTTTTGTCGGTAGCATAATATAAAAATGAAATTGTAAGTTCTTTATTTTGTCAAAACAGCGGGGCTTCGGGCTAGATAAATATTGTCCAACTAATTCTTCCATTAATAAATTATAATATCCATATATATATATATATATATATATATATATGTACAATATTATCATGTAATAATATAAGTATAAGCAAAATACTCTTCACGCTTTAATGAAGTTCACAATACTTAATAGGTGGTGCTATCGGCTACGTATGAGAAATACATATTAAGTGTGATGGGACATATAACATTTTTTTTTCATTACTAAACCGTTGTTTTAAAATAGATTCCCCGAAATTGTTTGTCTTAATACTTTTGTACAGTTGTATAGGCACAAAAATAATTATTGTACTTCTTTCTCTATTTGTTTCTTTGAGTCAATGGAGGTGGATGCCCACGCATAACTTTCGATTCTTCGTTAGTCCGTTTTAGACTTATTAACACAGCAATGACCTGCACTTCGAATGATAACCATATAATATGGTAGGTACTATAACCCAAGTATCTATGAACAACGAATATCACTTAACTCGATTGTGGTTTTTTTACATTTTCACTATTGTAGTCGTAGATAATAAAAGTAAGAATAGGCCAAAGTAGTATTTAATTTTTTACGAGAATGAACATCAAACATTTTGATGTTGTAAGAGATATTTAGTGGCCCATAGTAAAATAATCACCCTGTAGATAATAACTATTTCTATGGAAAAGAATGTCTTTTCCTCTTACCCATTCCACACTATAGACTATTGCCTATTAGTAAATAGTATGTAAGAGTGACCTACCGCCAGTGGCGTAGCTATTTCGGGTGCAGGGAGGGGCAGTTGTCCCCGGGCGCATTCTATTTTGGCGCGTTTTTGTACGGTTTACTATAAAAGATAACGTGTAATGTAAGGCGCAAAAAAATGTCTTGCACCTGGGCGCTTTAGTTTCTACTTACGCCACTGCCTACCGCCTATCCAATCATTTATTAGCCGTGATTGTAACAATCAACGTTTTTAAGAGCATTTCTTGTAGTTACCCCATAGATATAGATATCCTATAATACTTGATGGCCGACTAAATCTATGAAATTTGGACGTATTCTCAAAAATGAAGCTTGGCGGCAATATGCAGTGTGGTCAATATTTACATTATGCTATCAATATTTCATTATGGTAATGAGATATAAAGTGTAACACTTATTAATGTCTTATTAATAGAAAAAATGGCAATCGGTAAGGAATCCTCATTACTGTAATAATAAGTATACACTATAATTAAAGCTAAATTAAGTATGCTTTCTAGAAAAATTGCCTATACTTTACTCCTTAGAAATGAGCGGCGAAGTCATTTAAGGGGATTGGAAATGGACTGTTTCAAGGAGTTTTATGTAGGCAATATTTAACGAAAAATGTGGTTTTAATAAATTTCGACCATGTCAATCTAATTTTCCGGTTATTATTATAATAAAATCAAATTAAATTTGAAAATGTTTCAATATTAGAAAACGAATTATTTTATATATAAACAAAGCAAAAAATTAAATATCCGTTTTCCAACACATCTTAGTAAATATGTACCCCAAAGAAATCGTATCTCTTTACAAAATTGAAATCGGACCATCCTAAGTAGTCGACATTTTGTCAGGCTATTTAGTCCTGAAACGTCAAAAAATGACCGCTTTCAATTAGGTTTATTATTTTGTTCAGGTTCATTACATTTAGCCGTCTAGCTGACGCCATGAGGCGTCATATACATGATACATGTATACAAAAAACACAATCCCACAGATCTACAGTCGAACAACTATATCTTAGAGGACGCCACACGGCCCATTTTAAGGAGTAAAGTATAGGCAATTTTTTTTCAAAATATTACTTAAAAGTTAAACTGTGATGTGTAACTATGAGTTCAGTAGTTAGGACTCTTTTTTAGTAGTTAAATTATTTTTCAGACTATCACAGCATCTTTGATAGCGATTTAAAAAAAAAAATCCTGTTGAATTGAGTTTTACACGGATTAATTGTTCTCAGGCTTCATATATAGTAAAAGAAAGAAATTCATATATATTATTTATGACAACATTATTTGTGTTCCACCATCCGTATTTTTTTTGATATACCTAACACAACCAACGCTATATCATTTTTAAAAAAGTCAAAAAGTCCTTTTTTAATTAATTAATTATTCATTAACTGGTTGATATTAAAAAAAAAGGCGATGGTAGAACACATATAATGTTGTTGTCTATATTATGTGAAAATTTGGTTTCTTAGTTTCGATTACAGCCTTTGTAAAATTAATTCGTCCAAGACGGGTTTTTTGAAGAAAATAACGTATGTGTGGCGACCTCTTAAGAACATACTAATTTTAATTAGCATACAAAAATTTGTAATATGCTTAAAACTGATTAAAAAATTGCTATGTCAAAACAGGATATAAAAGTCTAAATCTTAAATATGTATTATGTCGCCAAAACTGCTTAGTTTTACAAATAATTCACCTTTTGAGACATGTTTTACCCGGATTTGAAAATTGATTTTTTTCCTGATTTTCCTCTTAATTGGAATTTGAAATGAGAGACGGTTTCAACAAAACCAAGTAAGGAAACCAGATGACTCGTACTGGTATTATGTATTGAATATAATTTGAGTCTGCGTGTTTAGCGCTATCAAAATAATCCACAATAAGTGTTTTTAATTAAAACAAAGTTAAAGTTTGTAACGGAGCAACACACCAAGGCCACCAACGATCATACCACGCGGCCGTACCGACTAGGAAACACGACGACAACAAAAAATCGACCAATGGGATTGCGGGTTTTTTTTGAAAAAAGCATAAATACCGACCGCAATCCCAAATTCGTCACAGTCTTCTTCCAACCATCCAGGTATCAATATACTCTGGGTCAATTGGATGCCGACACCTCAAGTATCATCCACATCATGTGACAATTTGGTTTCAGTTCCAGTACAGCCGCATCATCACAGCCGTACCAACGACAGCGGCACCCGCAGATTCACCGCCGACCACTGCCGGATACAGCGACGGACAACCGGCGTACTCCGACATACCACGACGTCCCAAGGAAAACCGTCCTATCTCAGGGCGAACACTTTACAGAGCCACTTAATCGAGTTGCGCTGTCCTCCCGGTGACTCAAGTCCGTAGGCGCTTATTAGAGCTGCCCTACGTTCCGGCCAGTCACCCCATCATATCCCCGACACATTTATACGGTAGGAACATAGATCCCCATTTGTGAGGCCAAGTACGTGCCCATTTCCCCAGTGTGAGTGGCTAATCCTTTTGAGTCCTGCCCTCGCCTATACCTAAGTGTAATAATTATCATTTACGTTGAATAAAAACAACCATGATACCATACATCTGCATTATTACATTTACGATACGGCGAAGCATCCGCCACCCGTATCAAGTTTGACTTTCTCATGTCATTATGAGATGGTTTCTTGACGATTTCAATATATTATTTTTTTGTTTCAACGAGGAAGACTTTTTACAATAACGATCTCTGATTTTAGTTTCACGAAAAAACCTAATAAAACACCTATCAGACACTCTTATTACAACACACAGTATTAAAATTTTCAAAATTGTGATTATTAAAAATAAAGAGCCTTACGTTATTTTATCACTCAATAAATCTATTTAATATACACACATAATATAAAACATAATAAGTAAATATCACCTTCACTAGGGTTCTTTTTTGAGCCATTACCTGTTTTGTGTTGTAATGGAGCTAATCGAAGCTATTATAATATTGAAAATCGGATCATTTGCCTATGAGTCAGGATCTTCTTTCGGAGGAGCGTGTTTTAGAAACTGGATAGCTAGGTGTCTTTACAACATAATATGAACTCAAAAATATAGAGTTGCTTATCGCCATTAATCGTCTGCATTACTTTCTATTGAAGTAAAATTAAAACATAATTTCTATTGAAATCATAGAAAAATGGATAGGTCGCGGTTTTTTATTTGCAGAAGAGTAAAACAATGATCTTTCCCCACAGGTTTATTGGTGTTTTTTCTCTTTCTCGAATTGGGTAACCCGTAACCAGCATTTATGGTCGAAAAAGAGCACATGACGGCGACGCGACATGTGGATTCGCGAGGAACTTATGACGGCGGTGCGTCTCTCGGGAGGTCATCGTGCGCGCGATATTTAGACAGTCTGGCGGCGCGGCGTCCCGGGCAGTGGGGGTACATCGGCAGCGCGCGTGCGGTCTTATGCATGTGGCCCGTGTCTCGGGCGCCCAGTCGGTGGTACACGCGGTCTGTGCCGGTTCAACTGCCCTGTACCACATGCGCGTGCGTTTCCCTCCGAAATTTAAATAAAAAAAGGTACTGCCAATTTCTTTATTTTTTCGGCCGAGTACCGCGCGGTTAATTTTTCGATTTTCTTAAGCCTCGCCCCCCCGCACGCTGGAGATCCCTCCGGGTGTCAATCGATTCGCGGCCGAGGCCATGAGTTCGAAGACGGTGGTCCGCGAGCGAGTTCCCAAATGGCCGCTGATAGCCGCTGTGGTGGCTTCGTTGTCCGTTATGTCGGCCGTCACGCTGATGGCCGCCGTGGCGTGGACGACCGTAGGCTACGGGACGTCCACTTCCGCCGGCTACTTGGACATCGTCACCGAATTCGTGGCCGTCAACGACACCGGCGACAATGGAAACTTGGACGACTCGTTCGATTTGCAAGCTGGTGAGTACCTACTCTGTTATCAAATCCTTAAGAAGGGCACCACACTACTTCCATTCCCATCAGATGTCCCCTCCCCGTGTAAAACGTTTCTATTCAAATTTTAGCATTGATGTTTTTAGTAAAATATTTGGAAAACACTGAAATCCAATGTAGTATACATTTTTAATAATTTTATCAAACATTAAATTAGTTAACATTTTGATAAAGTTTTGCACCCCATTGAGTTATATAGTTCTATAAAAAAAAAGGCTAAACCACTTCGTTGTAAAAATTAGATATATTAAATATAAATATGTAATTTTATTTTTTTAACTTCGAGCCAAATGCTTTATACCAAGTTTTATCGGAAAATCGACTATAATTTATTATTTAATTATAAAATGGTATGACGCGGCATTTACTGAAATAAATGATTAGATACAAGACAAAGTACGATACAGTCATTCATAATGAATTAATTCGAATAAAAAACGTTACTAATACTAGTTCTCACCTATACGTAAACGACCGCTGGACAGAGTACATAGACAAAAAGTAACGACCATACTGTAGATCTCGTTTGCATTATACTACGTTCTTATTAAAAACGGATAAATTATAATTAAGTCCGACGTCCGAGGTCCATGGTTATTTTATAGGGACTTGTAAATTCTGAGACAGTTACATAAATTCTATATTTTTAATTGTTAAGTCCCTTATTAGTAGATTTATTTTGGAAATAAGACATTTTTAGTGTCTGATAAACTAGATCGGAGGACATTATTTTATTTTTAAATAATATTAATTGTAGATATTTTTTTAAATCTAGAAAAAACATAATACGACAACATTATTACGGTGACATTACTTGTGAGTTGAGCATTTTTAAATCTAAGAACAATATATTATTGTGTTGAGTATAATATTATGGATATTAACATACAGCGCGCGAAAATTTTAATAAAGTAGTCGAATCACATAGATCCGCCATTGATAAACATGTACAAGTCCTTAAGATTTGTCGTTGCCAATATTTTTTTTTCTCGCATAATATGTTTTTCGTTTTTTTTAAATTCATTATGAGCTATAGAACTCCTTTAATCAGTTATTAGTTAATTACATAAAAAATAACTAACCTAACCAAAACTAATTATCACATATGCCGATTAATCGGTTGAACCTTTTTTAACGTCATTTCAATCGCTATCTCAAACACAAATTATAAAAAAAGTTGTACTATAACAAAAATATATTTTTTTTAATTGTGAACATTTTATAATATGTTATTGGGCGTTTTAAACAATACAAATATTTGTATAGGATAACCCGCAAAATATTCCACTGACTCAAATATGTATAAATTAAGCATTATTCATTTTCATTACCTAATAGCTGTCTGATTTAAAATATTTTTTTCTTTGTTGAATCTAAAATTTAGATTGTCTTATAGATGTTGAAATTAAACCAATGGCATTTATTTTTGTTTTAAATATTTGAGATGTTAAGAATTTTTCGGTATAGATTTTTGCTGCATTATTAAGTTTATACACGTTTGTAATACGAGTATTATTGTAATAAGTCAAAATGTTGTCTGTTCCGAAAAATCGATTAAAAATCAAGTATAACGCATGACTTAATTAATTATGTGCTTTTTTCAACACTAGACCGTCGCGTCGTCCGTTTTAAGTCCATTCGTATACGCGTCTAGTAACGAAAGCCATTAAGGACTATAAGTTAGTGATTCTGGCATTGTCTGTTAAGTACAAATACTTTACCGAATCGATTTTATACAATTTTTTTCTTTTAACTTCTTTTTTTGTTTGGTCCTGGCAATAAGCCACATATAATTTCTCACTCGGATGTTTTATCGATGAAATATTAACGCACCACGTCTTACACCCAAACGTGTCTAATCACTGCAAAAATTGTAATGTGGGTTATTATTTTGTTTTTTTTATCCTTGAGCCTATACTGACACCTATACTTCGAAGTACTACGTAGGTACTACACAATATACCTACCACTAATTAAATAGCGTGTGCAAGTCACAATTTTAGCTACTAGCAGTGAATTATCTTATCTTCTAAAACCATCTACGGACGTATTTGCAAATATCTGGTCGAGTGTTTATTTTTAATTGACGCCCAAAGCGATTTTGATTTTTGGTCAATTTTCCGGCTGATAATCGCGGCCGGATGAGGAAGTATGACAGCTTTTCGTGTGCAATATTATATAACACAGTACACACGTTATGCAAATATTAGTTTTTGTTGTGTACTAAGGTCATTACTATAACTATACACCTCCACTGCCACCGCCGCTGTGACTATACAAATGCAATTGATTATTGCCCGAGACAGAACGCGTTCTTTATAGACACCCAGGAGACGTGGGCGTGGTCTGCGTGCAACAACGGCTAAAAAATCACCAAGTTGAACGAACAGAGTACAGACCGTGTTCATTCAACACCGCGCCAAGTGCTCATCTCTGTGCCTATATACATTGCATATTGTAGAACATATTCTATTACTATGTACGATTCACATAGCGCACAAGGCCACGGATGGTATGTGCTATAATACATAATATTATGTTCTGGCGGGCAGTTCAAAAACCTCCAGGTTACGACTAGACCTTTAGCACGGAATAACGACTCTTACGTGGCTCCTCGGCGAGGTCTTACTTGTGTAATTGAAACTAGTATAAATTGAATATAGCCCATGCGCGTTTGATGTTATTTAAAAAAAATCAGGTACTTAGTTTTGTAATTTTTGGGGGAGAGGGAGCAGACTGGACGTATGGCCTTCTTTTATTTTAGCTAAGAAGTTAGCAGAGAATCCGCTACCACACTCCTCGTAAAATTATTGAGTACGTGAAATTAACATTAGAATTATTAACTTTATATATCTTGGATCTATATACGCCGATCGGTCTATCTCAGAAAATATATACTTGTTAGTTCAAGTTACAACCCCGCTGTTAATTTTAACAGTAATGGTAATGAAATCAAATAATTAAATAACCTTAACCACAAAAAAATTGCTCTAAAGTGTATACGCTTATTTTATTAGCAATGCTATAATCATCAGTGTCCACAACAGACTGAGGCTTAGTCTAATGATGAAATTATTGCTACCGAAATACGTGTATGCCCTAAAGTGTAAAATGTTTTAAATATTTTATTTTTTTTTAATATATAACCACAAATATTCCTTTTTCTATAAAGTGATGCTTTCACATTATGAATTTCTATAAAAGAAAAAGCCAAGGATGTATTAGCGTATGTAATTCTTGTTCAAAAGTTTTTTTAAATTTAAATATTATGGGAAATTGCCAGTTTTTATGTTATTGTTAACAATGCATAGATGTCAACCTAATTATATGAAATGATTTACAAAGAGAGCTGGCAAATAAAAACGATTTTCAGTTTTCAACAATTCGTTGTAACCGGAGTGTAGATGGAAGTATGATGATCGGTGGCGCTGTAAACTTATTTTTGTCATATGACCAACATATTTTTTTTTAACATTTATATAATATATGTTTTAGTTAACATTTTTTCAAACACTATAACATTCAATAAATGAGAAATATATGGTTTTTTTAATGCACACTTTATAATTACAACACTGAACGAGTTTTTAAAATTTTTGTTAAAATTTTTAATTGAATATTATTAATTAAACATTTTTTAAATTTGTACAGGATGTAATGTTTAAATTAGGTATTTACAGAATTTTCGGTTACAACTATATTTACATATTAGCTTTGCAAAACGTTTCGGAAGCTTTTCATCTTTCATCTTCAGTGCTGTGTTGTGTGCTAGATTTGATGTACTCGTTATGCTGCTGTCTGTAGTCTGAAACGATCGTCTCCGTGGTCGTAGGTTGTATAATATACGCCGGTATAACATTATATAATATTACAAAGCCAATAGTTGTAACCGAAATGACGGTATTCTATAAATACCATTAACTTCAATATCAATATCCAGCGGGTTAAGTTTAATTAAATGTCCAGTAGAGCCAGTCAGATTTAAAGTTAACATTGATCACTTTAGTAAAAAAAGTTACTCTCATTTTTTCAGCCTTAAGTTTGCTTTTGAGAAAAATATGTTTTGGCATCGATACGAAGCTGTGAAGGTATTTTTTATTCGATTTTGACGGCTTGCGGCGTAATGTAATATAATATGTTATAGTAGATAGCACCTATAACAATGGGCTCCGTCATCCGTACATTATAAAATGGTTTTTAGTTATAGGTATTAATCGGTGTAGTCGAAAATAACGCAGTTTTGTTTTAACTACCTGAAATTACGCAGTCCATTAGAACGCAAATTATAGACTAATTTGATTTTTGTTCCTATGGATTTCTGTTTAGTGAACCTAATAGTCAATCCGTGTACATTTAAAATGCGACATATTGCTAAAGGTAAATTGGCGCAACGTAATACTTGTTCTCTCTCTCGTGAGATTCTCCAGCTCCTATGTAACCTTTCTTACCGGAGTCTAGGGTAATCGTCGAAAGTGTGTAATCAAGAAGTTGCATATACGTCATCGTAACAGTTTAATATTATTAATTTTTTAAAACGAATAGCCCCGTTTTGTCTCGTGTGGTAACTGCGAATTTTAACGCGGTAAAGGTCGTGCACTTTTTTGTAAATTGTTATATAATATATGCAATACGTACAAGTAACATTGGTTACTCGTTATAATAATACAATTCTATTGTTTCCGCTAAAAGTGGCGATCGTGGGTACGTGATAAATCAGTCGATATAAAAATAAAGTAGTATGTATTTATTACTATTGTTGTTTTCGCTCCTAACAGAATTGCAATCAACCAGGACGGTAGGTCAGCGGAGTACCGACGTGCATTTTACACGCAAGGATGAGATTTGCCATAAGGCTCGTGCACTGAACACCCTCGACCAACTTCTTGTATATTTAATACCTATAGATACTATCGAGTTGAAGTGAAATATAAAAATAATAAAATTAATATGTTATAATAAAAAATACA